CCCCCCCCCCAAACCCCCCCCCCCCCCCACCCCACCACCCCCCCCAACGTCACCCCGCCGGAGAAACACAGCAAAAACTCGCCACCCGCCCCCAACCCCCCCCCCAGCCTCCACCGCCCCCCCCACCACCCCCTCCCTAAAAAGCAGAACAAGCAAACCCCCCACCCCCCCCCCCCACCCGACCCGCCCCCACCCCCCCACCCCCCACAAGCGGCCGAGTGCTAAAGTAGCATCGCCCTTGGCGGCCCCCCAATGGGTAGGTCTGGAGAGCGCGATATGGTCAAGAATTCCCGCAAGGCCAGCGAATCCATCCACCACCCACCACCCTCCACAAAATCCCAAAAAGCCCCACACCACAGCCCAACACAAACATGTATAAGGTACCAGAGGGAACCTGCCGGTTCTCACTCCCCGGGAATTCCCACAAAAAATACCTCAAGACCACGACACCGTCGGCAGTTGCACCTCACGCGCCCCCGCCGTAGACAGTCTGCATTTTTGGTCCCCGGCAAGTATGGTGCCGCATCTTCCGGCTCGTGACGCCCACACAGCCACCTCGCGCACTATACCCCCCGGCGCTGGACAGCGTCGCCTACAGACTCCCTGAACCGCGAACGATCAACCTGGGACGGCAAGGAGCGAGGGCCAAAATGAGAAGAGTCAGCGGCGGGGATGGAGTGATGATCGATGGACCGGCCCGTAAGGGTTCGATGAGGGGAGGCATCGCCACGGGAGACGTCCGGCAGGGGCCGGAACGCCGCGCTGCCGCGGGGGAGCCCGCTTGATTGTTTTGATTGCCTAGTCGTTGGTCTTAATTACATAGTAGTAGATATGCTTGCATGTGTGTGTGCACATTTAACTCGACAGCCTGTGAATACTGAAAATTTGAAACACTGGCTCTCATCATACTGTATGTTGCGAATATCAACTTGTTTTTCACGGATACTGGAGAGCTGTTTAATAAATTATTACATCGAATCAATCTATTATATCGCCAGGCAGAATACTGAGAAAGATTACTTATATCCTGAATTGTTGCAGAGTATGTTTAGTTCCTTGTTTCGTTCTGATAAACAGTAGGGCTGCAGTGGTCACGCCCACCTCCCGCGAACGTCACGATACGATACTATCACTCAGATCTAGGCTCAATATCACTCGAGTCAGAACTGCAGCTTGTAGAATCGCATGAGTCGTCTGTCGGTGCGTCCGCGTCCTCGGTCCGTCCGTGGGCGACGCGGACGCACCGCGTCGGAAAAAAAGTCAACAAAACAACAGACCCACCAAAACGTAAAACCGTCAAAAAAGAAAAACAACAAGATATCCACGTCGTAAACAAAAGCCCGTCTAAGCAGATTGGCGGCACAAAATCTAACGGGGTCGACGTAGCGGTCACGAATAGATTGGCCGACGTGGGGGTAATCCGAAGACGAGTTGGGATGGTCGCAAGCTGGAGGTCAAAGGTCAACGTCAGGATGGTGTCAAAGAAGGGGGAACATTCCTCCTTAGCTTAAGGTATAGGGAGGAATGCAAGAATTGGGCACAATCTAAATGGCATCGACGTAGGCTCGTGATAGTGCGGTGTAGTAGGCGATGAATGGTAGGCGGAAGAAGCCATCACTCGTCCGAAATGGGAGGTCGCACAGAGTCAAGGTCAATGGGCCTCGGGCAGATTTATAGACATTTTCTGAGGACATGGTCTGACGATGCGATTGAAACTTTTTTTGTTTCAGGCGGTGACGCTAGCATTTTGTATGGGCATTATTGAAAGGACCAATGAAATCTACTTTCCTGCTGACATGCGAAGAGTAAGTGATCAGATAACTTCTTGACCTCAAGAGAGGGTTAAAACATGGTTTGTTGTCTGTTAAAGAAAAGAATTTGACTGCCGGGTTTGCTAGTTAGATATCTATACATGGCCTGGATGTATGAGGCTACAATGCTCACAGTGAAATTTCAAAGCTACAATTTTGGTTTAGAAGAAGGGTGTTATGCTGGCTTAAAATGTATAATTTCTAGTGGATTCTGTACTGTCCAGTATGGTTACATGTCGGGGTTGCCACCTGGCAGTTGCTATGCAGTGCAGCGTGTTGGTGGTCTGGTGTAAGTTTTGCCTGCGTTAAGTCTTGGTTACCGGATGGCCAGCTTCTATTGCACGGCCTGTAGGCTTGGCGTAGCGTAATGGATGAAGTGCTTACCTATTTGTCTTGCATAATAGTTTGGTTTTGCTTACTACGTCCGATTGGGAGCTTAAGTTCGCATCTTTAATCTGAAGCACCACTTAAACCGTACGCGCGAATCTCGTGGCAACGTTTTCATAACGATCCCAACGACATCTCGATTTTGAAGTAGGTTCCTGGGATGACATCCTCTACGTGCATTCGGCATACCTGTTTGGGCGTGCAGTATGTGAACACATTTAGGGACTAACAGAGTTTACTAGACATCCCACGGCCCTCGCACGCACACCGAGTCGCCGTTGCAGTAGGGCGGTTGAATGAGGTCGCCTGTCGCTCCGAGGCGGCACTTGTTTTTAGGTAGCATGATATGATACCAGTAACAATGATTGATACGTAAGTAATGATATGAGTAGCAATACCAAGCGATACTATTAAATGCGGTGTGCATGACCTTTTTGGAAAATGTCGTTTCTATTATCGCGAGTAAACAGATCAAAATTTACGAGACATATTGTGATTTTATAGTGACTGATGGGGGCAGCTGTAACACCACTATGATGATTTTATCCTACGAGAAACAATGCAGAGAGTACCTGATGGGTTTAGATTTTGGACAAGGCTGACAATGAGGGCGTGATTTATTCTTGACGGGATGCTTTGGATATTGCTACTGATATGAGAGCTACTACGTCGAGTGAATTGTAATGCATGCACCATGTCGTAGTCACGTTGCATCATGATTGCCCCAACAGTTAATATATATAGGAGACATTCTCAGTAGGCGAGGTTAACTAAATTATCATTGCACACTCGAGCGGATGGGCGACGCCGCCCCCGGTCCACACGCGGCCCGGTGGTATAGAGGCATGAATCTGAAATGTAAAGAGTCGTTTACGTTTATTGTCTTTGGCCAATTATTTTGCCGGGTAATAGATGCTATAGCTACTGTGACTGTCACTGTAAAATTTAGTGTAAACTGTCATGTTGTGATAATGATGTTATTGATTGGCATATAGTGATTATATCTTTCGCCTGTAGACATCTTACTTTTGTTATAATTCATTAAGTATTTTATTTACTCGCCCGGGGCTTGGCGGGGGTTATGTTTTTCATCGGCGGTGTGTTTGATGTGATTGGTTTGTGTATTTGTGGGTTTGTGGTTTGTTTAACATTGGCACGTTCTCAGTTCCGCTTCCGGCTAGGTGGCGCTGCGCTGTAAGACTTACAAACGCAACCAGCAGGCTAAGGGGAACGCACAGTCCTCCCCAACACTGCACGCTCGCACTAGTATCCGGATCAATTAATTATTTAAATTAATAAATTTGCCACTTAATGTATTAATTAATAAAAAATTTCACATTGAGAGAATTCAGCTGCCTTGGCAGAGGTCTGTGCTCTCCGAGTGCTCTAGTTGTAGCTGTTTTGATCGATTCACTACATATCGTTTCAAGTGTCAAAACAACCATACAAGTGAGAGTAATTCTTATAAGTAACCAGTTGAAATTATTGTTTCTTCAGAAAAAAGAAGAATTGGTATTATGGTGCCACTCGTCCATGGGAAGAAGATAACCAGAATGAGAATGCACCGGGCGTTCGTCATCCAAAAATATTTTTAGAACCCATCAAGGAGTGGAACGTGTTCAAAGGTGATCTGGTAGGTGACTGCATGGAGCCAATATATAATATATAGTATAGTAAAATATAATAAAATAGAAGAGAACAGAATATGATATGATATAGTTATTATTATTAAACCTTTACTGCATGTAATTCAAATACAAATACACCTACTGAAGATGAACTTGAGGTATGGATCACTAATATAATATAATTTAATATAATATAATAACCGTGTAGGTAGTAAGAGGTACTGACTCCTGCATGGGGCACAGAGTTATAAAAGAAGTGTGATTATCTTTTTATGTATTACAAGTGAGAGTGACATGAAAATGTATGAAATCTCCTCATCTGGGCATAGAAGCGCTCTATGGGAAATATTGTTAAAATAGATTCATCAAACTATGGTCAGAGTAAATTGAGACTTGTGATAGGATTACATCTAATATAGGTTTCTTTCTTTTTTCACTTAGGTAGAGGTTCTTGTGGGGAAAGACAAAGGGAAGCAAGGAATCATCAATTATGTTGTAAAACAAAGGAATTGGGTCTTTGTGGATGGACTGCATTGTGTAAGGACTCCATATTTATCATTATAATAATTCAATATAACAACCTGTTGAAAGAAGAAGAAGAGAACTGTCCTGTTTGTAAGCCTGACCACCTGTCCTGTAAATGGTAGCTTTCACCGTTGTAGCTATGCCGGTTGGTGTCGGTCAGTAATAGCCGGCTCTGGTGTTGGCCGACTGGCACACAGCTTTAAATAACATCCTTCCAACCGGCACAAAAATGATTGAGTTTGTGTAAAATTACCTTCAAAATAGTGAGCAATCTGTAAATAATCACAACTGATACACTTAGAATTAATTTAAAAAACAACTGAGTTTAATCTCAACAATAATTATGCGTAAAATCATCTGATCACATCATACAGCGCACAGTTCATGCAGTATAGCTGGCTAAGCACCATGTTGCTATTATAATAATCTATGCATTTGACACACTCACTGATATTAGCTGGCACTAAAATTGTCCTGGCTACAAACAACCCTGGTCGATTTATTATAGCAGCAAAGAAACAACCAGGAGAATTGTGACCATCTTTTAAAAATTCCCAATTGATAGGAGTTCCAAAGCTCATTAAATCTTATTATGAATGGTACCACATTGCTCAAACAGTTAATTGGGAGGAATGTTGCAGTTTTAAAAGTAAACCATAGCAGGTTGGTTATTGGATGTATTGCTGATTATAGTATCAACTGCTCACATTCGTTTCTGCCTACATGCTTGTGTGACTGTATAAACGGTGCTTTTGGACTTATGCAAATTCTGAGATGTACATTCGTAGACTTTGACATTTCAAGAGACTCTTCTAAATGTTTGCAGCTCACATGACAGACACAAATGCCTTCCTACAGTAGATCCTCAATGTATGACATTTTTCCTGTTGATTCTCTCATTTAACCTATTGATTTAAACAGGAGCACAAGTTCATTAAGTCTGACATTGGTCTGCGACCAACCATGGTAAAGTCGGAGCTACCGCTCAGCGTTACAACAGACATAGCTCTTGTGGATCCGTCCGATAAGTATGTACATTCTTACCTTTATTGTCATGATGAAGCGTTAGTGTCATCATTATCATTGTATTGTTGCTCAATTTTACCAGGGCTTGAGTTGTATCACAGCACCAACAGTAAGTACCGTAGTTGTGCTCCTCGCGTGCCTTGGTGGCTCTGAGAATCAAATTCTATGGTAAACAGCTGTTGCTACCCTACCTTATTTGCCTCAATGCCTTTCACAGAATGTCTGCGTTACGTATGTATCCGTCATTCTCCCACATAAAAAATGTTGTTAAAAAGTGCGTTGGCTTCATAACCCTTCTTTGGGAGAATTTCCAGAACTTTATATATATCTTTATATAACTTTATATTCCAGTATTTATTGATGAGTGGCATTTCTATACAGTGATTACTAACACAAGCTTGCTTTTTTCTTGGGTGCGTGTCTGCAATGGCAGTAAAGTAACAGAAGTTGAGTGGCGTTACACTGAGGAGGGCAAGCGAGTCCGTGTGTCAACACGCACAGGACGAATCCTCCCCCTCTCTGCGATGGCAGAGGAGACGAGAGATTACAAGACTAAGTCGACTTATAAAGGTAGGTGACGATAGTGAGGTGACTGACTGTGTCGTAGCTGTCTTGTCAGTGTACAGTCGTACAGTCTGTCTGTCGTACAGTCGGACCTGCACATAAGCACCACACAAAGGAAATGCCAAAATTGCTTTATATAAACAGGTGTATGTTCTGTGGAAAGACTCACTTTTTAATTGCTGCTGAAGGGAAATGCTAATCGTGTTCTTTATAGTCAGGCATCCATTCTGTGAAAATTGTTTTACTCTATAACTGCCACTCAGGGGAAAGTGTAAAAATGCCCTTTATAGACAGGTGTTCATTCTATTGACCACTAACACAAATTTAGTGTGTATAGGTTTATTTATTCCATTAGTTAAGCTGTGGACACACTAGGCGATTTTTCAGGCGATTGAGTCATGCGACTGAGTGGACACACTAGACGATTTTCAGCGCGATTCATCTGCGATTTTTTCCCGCTGCAACACTAAAACACTCGCGCCACCTAGATTGATATTCACATGATTGAATATGGCACCGTTTGATTGGCTGATGAATTGTACAATCGGGCGACTCATTCGCCGACCCATACACACTAGGCGATTGTAGTCGCGCGACTCAAATAATCGCCAATTTTATCAAACATGTTGAACAATCAAACATTTTATCAATCAACTTGAAAATCGCCGGCGACTCACTGGACACACTAGGCGATTTTTGAGGCGACTCGGTTGCCCGACTCGATAGCCTGAAAAATCGCCTAGTGTGTCCACAGCTTTACTAAACATCACGCATTGTGATAAATGTTCACATTTATTATCAGTAGTCACTTATAGGTGGCAGCACTTCAACATCATTTGTAAGCTGTACAGTATTATAGTAATTGACAGGAATCAGTAAGACGTAGGTGTAATTTTTCTTTGCCGTGATGATGAGTGAAGTAATATGTACGATAAAATTTAACTTTCATGTTCATAACTTGCTCTTCCTATTATTTTCTCATTTTACCTCCAAATATGTATCACGTTTCATTCATGCTACCAATTTGGACTTTGGACAGAAATTCAGCATATCATAACATTTGTATTATTCATTGTTGACTGTCGTGTAACATTGAGTTTGATTGGCAATTATGCATTTATAGAACAAGAAAAAGACACACGGTCAGAGGATCTGGAAAAGGTTACATTTGAGCCAAAGCTAATGTCATTTGAGCAGGACATAATGGACAGTGAAGGCATCATAGACAGAAGAATGCCAGCAAAGTCATGGTGGTACTAAGTACAGAAACGATAGTTTAGTGTGGTTCTAGCTCTGTAAATATTATTAATGTTAGAACAAGCAAAAATGATTATAATTTCCACAGTAGGTATCAAGATATTACCAAATCGTTAATTACATATTGCCATTATGAATAAGCATAAACAAGTATTGTTACACGATCCATATGAATGATTCCATGCTAAGCATAGTTAGTCATGTAAATCATGCTGCCTGTCATTGCTCTGTCAGTCTTCATTATTTTATAGTAAAAAAATTCACTGTGTTATAGCCACCATGCACTAGCCTGAAAGGCAACTGTTACAATGTTATGCATCACCATGTGTTTTGCATATGCAGCAAGTAACCAGTTCCAGGTTGATACCTGTGTTTCTAGTTTTATTTAAATTTCACATCGTTAGCCTACTTCTACCACAAGACTGTACTATAATGTATTTCATAATATTATGTAATAATAATAAAATTGTTAGATAATTAAAATTATTATATGTAATTATTTGTTTACATTTTTTCAATGGCTTATAAACGTGCATTATTTATATTTCATCTGGCACGGTCAAATGCCTCGAATAGAATGGCAAGAACATCCATTCGGCGCGTCAACACTAGCTATATAAATGCAAACGTCTTCACTTAGATTGGTTCTATATTCGGCACGTAGAGAGACAATGGTGTGCAATGCAGTAGAAATAAGCCTTGGGCCAGCCCCAGTAATAACCACAGTAACGTGACCAGCTGCAGCGCTGAGAGCAGCAGCAGCAGCAACAACAACAACATGAGTCATTCTTTACAAATATATTAGTCTCGTATGTCAGTCTATACGTCAGATGCATATACTGCGCCAGCGGTAAAATATCGCATAGCATTAAGTAAGTGCCGAAGTGCTATTTCCTACAGAATTTGCAATATAGTTGCAACAAAGAAGTTGCGTGGTGTGGGCGCAATGGGTAGGTTCTGGATGCCTCGCCGTCTTCCGGTCGCTGGTCTCCTAGGGCTATGCCATTCATAAATATTATGAACATGCCAAATATATAGATCTCCGGTTTCGTGTATATGTCTTCGTATTTGATTACTTTCTCGCAGGCAGCTTGTTGCTACGGCGTGGTGTGGCATAGCGCAGTTACATATATATATTCTAGAATCGCTGTAAAAATTGCTGTAAAATCGCTACGTTTGCGGGAAAGTGCAACTGCAACCCGTAGCGATTCTGGTCACTGGCGACGAGTTGCAAGAAATCAAACTGTTTTGATTTTGATCGACTCGTCGCTCCCAATCGCTCCCAAATTGCTCTAGAATTATGGGAGGGGATATGTTTAATCATTCAAACGTTCAATTGATCGATTGATTGTTTATTTTTATTGATTGTTTGATTGAACATTTATAGATAACGTCTAACCTCAACTAACCTGCATCCATATCGGAACAAACACAACAGCACAAATGATGTTTTCTTATGTTTTCTTTCTTCGTTTGATTGTGATCTTAGCTGCTAGCCACGTACACGCCTTCCGGCAGCACACCAGACATAACAGCCCGATGCCAATTGAAGTATTGAATGATTAAACGACTGTTCAATTAAACAATCAATCGATCAATTGAACGTTTGAATGATTAAACTACTATTCAATGTGTGTGTGTGTGTGTGTGTGTGTGCGCGCGCGCGCGTCTGTGTGTGTGCGAGCGGGCGCGAGAGCGTGATGAGATAGACGTGTGCAACGTTAAACGGATATCAACACCCTTGAAATGAATACAGTTATAACGACATCGACACGACTGTCCTTCGTTGCAGTCTCTTGGACTATAAAGAATATCTGCTATGAGGACTGCACCCGTACATGCCGCATGCCCGTGCCCGCATGCTCTTCACATGGTCCCCGTTACAACTATCACCGCTGGCTATCACTATGCCCGCATCGCTTGCGTTCCCGATAAGCGTGTGTGTGTTTTGATGATTGGCTGGTACGATGACGGCTCACGTCTGGCGTGGGTCGCACGCGATAACACCACCCGCATCGGTCGACCAGGTATATAATCTGATAGGTGGAGTTTTTTGACACCTGTCGATTGGTAATCAGCACGCGCGCGCGTGCCAGACATAGGAAAAGCTGTGCTTGATGCCGAAGATAGGGTCGAGTACAGGTACGCTGTGTTCGGTGCCGTTTGAGGTAAATGGTGAGGCCGCGTGGCTGACTCTATATCGCGTTGCGCAAGTTCTGTTCTACACACACGCGTACGCAATATACCGCAATATACGGTATTTTCCGAAGCGGACGTGTTTTTCGCTCGCGACTTCTGCCGCTGCCATGTTTATTAGGTCGTTGCTGTTCGCCTGCGCGTTTGTTCTGATCGGAGTTTTTGGCGACACCTCGGAGAGTAACGTCGCATACTACCGACGCAAGGCACCGGATAGCTGGTCGTACGGTCACGGGGGCAAGTTGGGCATACGGCAGCGGCTTACAGTCAGACTACAGGGTCAGGAGCGCCAGTGCTACTACCAGTATCTACTGAAGAACAGCGAGTTCTTCGTACTCGTTAGGGTAGGTGGATGTGGGATGTTGGAATATTCTTTTTTTTAACATAACTGAATATCGTGCAGCCTAAGAACTTTTCTAATATATATATATATATATATATAAGCTGCGTTTAGACGAGATTCCGAATTTATTAAATTCGGTATTTGCGAGATACCGAATTTGAGACAAATTCGCGACTTACTCCACCCGAGCGTTCACACGCTGTTTGGCGGCTTCAGAAATGCCGTATTTAGTTACTTGTCGATCCGCTTAGTGGTTTTGTATGCGCTTTCGCTATTTTATCCAACTTTTTAATGAATTTTACGCAGAACAAACGAAAAATAAAAACCCACCACTCTATAAGCTAAAAAAAATGGGGGGAAAATATTTAAAAAATAAATGAAAAAAAATAAAGAAAAAAGCTCTCTATTTAATCAGCCACCTCTCGACAGAATCTCCGTGAGTAATCGGAACACACGGAAATGGCCGATAAAATACGCGGCTTCAGAAATGCCGTATTTGCGTTCAGACGAGTCTGCGAGAGAAATAAGCGGTCCAAGAAATTCGGAATTTCTCAAGAACGAGAAGTAATTCGGCATCTGGGAAGCCGCGTATTTCAACAAATACGGAATCTATTTATCCGTATTTGTCGTTCAGGTGTTATTCATAAGAAAACCATCTCCGCGTGTCTTCCACAGACCATACACGGAGGAGCCGAAAACCTGCTAATTGATGTCATTGACCCACGGCTCAGTCTGCTTGAGACGCTGAAGAGTGGTGGTGATCAGCGCTCTATGCAAATTTCCAGCGAAGGTAAATGTGAATAAAACTATCGGTGAATGTGTGTAGGTGAGTTGAACAGTTTAAGGTAATTGCGCGATAACAATTTCTACCGAATGTATATTCCCTAGTAAGCTCCCTCTAGCCAGTAATGTATTACATAACAAATAAAACCAAATTAAAATGTTGAAGAGCTCTAGTAAACTTAATTTCTATTATTATAGGACCGTACGGATTATGCATCGACAATGCAAGTCGGTTCAGTACAAAGACGGTGCAGTTGTACATAAGTGCTCGTCTTAGCCAAGAAGAGTATGAGGCACGCGAGCGCTCCCAAATGTCCGGACATGTTGTGGACATAGAAGAAGAGGAACAAGCTGGTACGCTGGAAAGACTCGACGCTGAGGAGAAGGAAATGATTCTGGCGTTTTCTAAGGTGCAGTTGTTCATTGCATTTATTCATTCACCCGTCATCCCTTCAATTGTTAGGCGGCTATTGTTACCCTAGCGTAGTATTTAGACGGGGAATTAGACAGATGTGTCGTTCAGCATACGTGCAAAATCATACGTGCAATTATTTCTAGCAAAGCCTCTTAGCTGTCTTTGAAATTTCGATGTTATAACAGGCCGTGTTTGGTATAATTATTGCTTCAGCGGCTGAACGACCATATCACCCAAAGTTGGTAAAATAGTTAGTAGGCCTATGCGTTTACTACTGTAAATTATAATGGTGACTCTTTGTGTCGGGCCAGATTCCTCGGAAAATCGTGGGTTTATGCGATGTGAAAACAAATTATTAAGTTAGTTTAGGCTAGGTCATGATTCTCGCTCTCTTGGCATTTACCTATTCATGAATTCCAACAATGCTCATGAGAAATGGGATGTTATTTATCATTAAGAATCATATCACGACTGCATGATATATCAAATAGTCTAATACGTTCATATAGTGTACGTTTATTAATTCGAATAACTTTCGCTATTTGATTATCGAAAATAGAAAATAAAAATCGATCACACTCTAAACTATATGATCTTGATCTCTCACGAACACACGATAATCGTGAAACTACGATGTAGCAACCAACGGCTTTGTGTCACCTGGCCTCTGCTCTGTTTCAGGCGAGAGCCGCTAGACTAGGCGGCCATATTGAGACGATGCGTCGCTTGTTGTTCCGTAGCACGAGCGACGCAGCCGCCGACGTGACGCGAGCGCGAAGTACCGCCGACTACGTCACGTTTTGGTCGCTGGCTCAGTGTTGCGTCATCGGCCTGGTGGCCGTGTGCCAGGCGATTGTGCTGCGCCGCATGTTCAACGTTGTACCGACGACGGCGAGCAATAAACCGCGCGCATAGATGCCTGCACGCCTGTGTAGCGGACGTCGTCGTGTGTGCGTGCGCGCGCGTGTGTGTGTGCGCGTGCGCTTGCGCTCGTGTGTGTGCGCGTGCGTGTGTGCGTGTAAGCGTACGTGCATGCTGTGTAATGTGTGCTGTGCGCGTTGTGTGCGCGCGTACGTGCGTGCGTGCGAACGTGTGTGCGCGCGACTGTGTGTGTGTGTGTGCGTGCGTGTGTGAGTGCGTGCGTGCGTGTAGCAATAGTGGTATTTTGCATACTGTCTTTGGCGTTATATATGTATTTATACCTGTCAACCTAATAAACACATTCGTATATATTAACTACCGTTGTACTGATAAATTTAGAAAAAGTTGCATTCATTTTCTTATCAATAACAAGTTATATATAAATAATATAATGACAAGAGCAATCAGAGATAGCAAACCTCCGCCACCGCGTAACAGTACCCCCATCTTGCTGGTACACCCAATATCGTTGTTTCTACTCTCTATGACTATTGTTGTTTGACTCTGCATTCACACCATGCACGGCGCATATATCTATATATAGCTATCGATCTAATTTATAGTCGGGTTTAACGCGGCGGTCACACATCATAAACCCCTACAGAGAGAGAAAGCGAAAGCGAAACGAAGCGAGGCGGTTAGAGAGTATACCGCTACACTACGATCAATGATGAGAAATCCTTCAAACAATTCCTGGATCCAGATTTGGATGCGGATCACCACCAAAATCTAATCGATTGGTTGTTGGCCCAAGACCAACCCGTCCAACAAATTTCATCAAAATCCGACCGTAACTTTTTGAGATATCCTGTTAACAGACAAACAAACAAACCAACAAACTAACATGGGCGAAAACATAACCTCCTTGGCGGAGGTAATGATACTTATATACTTAATATTATCTGTAACTGTCCATAACAGGCAAGCAGAACCGAATATAGTGAAATTAAAATAACGTGTACTTATATTAACGAAATGTTACATAGGTCTTCGCCATTTAGCGTAGGACAATGAAGGAAAGCACCCACTGTGGTAACAACAGCTATATATTGCGCAATTGCTTCACTATAATTAGAATAACAACAACAAAATAAACATGAATTGTAGTTGGCATAATTTTAACAGTTATAAATTAATTAATTAGTCTTCCGCGCACGGGCCCCGAGGATGTGCGTGAAGCTATTTCCTAGTTCCTTATTTTCAAAAATAAGTAAGTGCACTCTTACATTACATTTAGACTCTCCACAAGCTAGAGAGAATAGCATGTGCACCATCCACAACCTATTCTACATCTGTGGACTCTTACATCACATTTAAACTTGTAGTAGAGAGTTTAAATGTAATGTAATGTAAGATACTTACTTATTTTATAGACCCATTTCCTTAGACCCCTTTCCTTATTTCAGAGCAGCGCCATTAGGCGAGTAGTTCCTTTTTAGTAGGTCTCAGGGGAGAGATAGTGAGTATAGAAATAAGTTGTGGATATAGAAATCAGTTAACCCTAACCATAACCCTAATCCTGACCCTAACCTTAACCCTAACCCTATCCCTACTTCTAAAATAAAACAAAATTATCCAAAAATAATAAACAATAAAATATTAAAAGGCAAAATTAGCCAATCAGAGCCGTTTTTGTTAGCATTTAACGCGCCCTCTAGCGGATCACTATCTCTCCCCTGTGCAAAATTTGTTCCTTTTTATTTCACCATAGCAACAGATGTAGAACAGGTTGTGGATGGTGCACATGCTATACTCTAGCTTGTGGAGAGCTTGAATGTAATGTAAAAGTAATAAGGAACTAGGAATTAGGAACTGGGAAATAACTTCACGCACATGCCCCAGGGCCGGCTAGAGTATTATGGCTCAATAGTAGGATACCCAGCGTTCCGCGGAGTATTCTACATCGAAATTCACTTTGACAGCCACCGAACACGGCTGTAACAGTGGCAGATGACAAGAGTGCAGTGCGAGGCACACATCCACTGAGCTAGCAGAAATGAAGATGAATGCGTTGTCGTTACCTGTGCCGTTTAGACGGCTGATGATTAGCCGCGGACACTTATACCGCCTATTGCGAAGATTGTGCCACGTTGTGACGTTCGCCCGGTACCTGTATCGTTGTCTCTGTGAGTACTGCTGATGCATAATTTCCGCTATGGTACATTCATAATGAGTTCGTCGACTGGCTCGCTGTTTATGACGACGATGATGGTGGTGGTACTGTTGCTACTGCTGCTGCTACGACGACGACGACGACGACGACGACGACGACGACAACAACAACAACAACAACATCATCATCATCATCATCATCAACAACAACAATTACAACAACAACAACAACAACTACTACTACTACTACTACTACTACTACTACTACTACTACTACTACTACTACTATTACTGCTACTAGCTACTACTACTACTACTACTACTACTACTACTACTACTACTACTACTACTACTACTACTACTACTACTACTAGCTACTACTACTACTACTACTACTACTACTACTACTACTACTACTACTACTATTACTGCTACTACAGTGCTGCTGTTGGTGCGTCTGCTGCTCACAATCACATTATTTATGCAACGGAGAACAACCTATATTATATGTCATGTGCGTTTCCACAGCAGCGAGCAAAGAGGCACGTGAAAACCTATTCGCGGGACGCGTGAAGTCTCCGCGTCAAGTCACGTAACGACCCGTTAAAAAACCACGTTGGCGTGTAACCGAGTTCGTCACAGATCACTCGGAGGATTATGCCGGGATAACCTTATTAATTTTTACCCGCCTCCTTCGCACTCCGTGCTGCCTCCCACGTTATCACGTGCGCCACGGCGTGCCGACAATCGACCAATGATGTAGCTCTGCGATTCATGAAAATGCTCAGCAGGAGATGACGCGCACCTCTGCACATCGAGATAAGGACAATATTTATAGGTATCGCACACACATGTTGCGGTCGTAAGGCTAGAACTGACGTCCGGTTTAGCGTTTTTAACATAACGCAATATATTGGAGAGACAAATTTTGTCATATGTATTTGCATGAATACGCACAGCACTATTAGTGCGTAATAAGCAGTAACAATACTCAGATTTTAGCCTTAGAGAGATCTATCCATAGACCGAAGGCTGATAACGTATTTGCAACATTCCAACAGATTCCACCGGTAAGAATAATTTCGGTGTAGAGATCACTTAATGAAGTCAGCATATGCGTCATTTAAACGTAAGTATCTATCTATTTATATATCTATCTATCTATCTATCTATCTATCTATCTATCTATCTATGTCTAGTCATATCTTCTATCCTTCTATCTATTCTATCTATCTATCTATCTATGCTATCTATCCTATACTATCTATCTATCTATCTATCAATTTATCTATCTATCTATCGTCATACTATCTATCTATCTATCTATCTATTTTTATTTATCTATCTAT